TAGAATAATAATTTTTGTGCTTTTTCATATATAGAAATTTATATTTGTGATATAATTTTTATAGATTTATTACTTTACATTAAAAAATTTAATTGTTACTCACCGTCGGAATTGTCGTAATGTATGTGTTGCATCTACGTTGATCTGTAAAATAGAAAATTCAAATTATAGTAGCGATAAAAGTAATTGCTATTTTAAAAAATTATTACACAAAAAAAATTTTTTTAAATACTTATTTTAATTAATTAAGTATTTATGACAATGTTTTCTCTTAATTCCTATGTTAATCATCTATCAGTAAGTAAAGGATTCAAGTTCTATAAAAATAATAAATAACAAATTACCTTGTGATATTTCTGTCATCATCCGATGCCTCTCCTCGGCCTTCTCCTTTTCACACATCCTTTTCGTTTGCATAATACAAGACACTCGCGAAAACACGATTAATTACGATCACACGCAGTAATAGAACGTTTGCGCGATATTTTGCGCGATACTTCCGACATTTAATCGTACCGGACGCATGATTTATTACATTCCGATGGAAGAATAACGCGAAAGAATAGGAAAAAAGATGTGACTATTTTCTTTCCACATTTGCATCCGCAATCGAGATTTTGATGTGCATGCGTCATTCATTTTCAAATCTTACAGAATTCACATTAAGTTAAAAAATTAATTAATACTTCAGAAATTATATCCATAGAAAAGATTTCCGGATACTATTACTTTTAGATTTATCATCAAATAGAATCGATATAAGAGGACAGTATACATATTTATTGTTAACCGAGAAATATTTTACTCGTAAATAGAAAATTCTTAAATTTAAAATAAAATCTTGGAGATCGGTTTCGCGTGCTAGATAATATGATGTTAGCATTGTGTGTTATATGGTAATATCGATTAAAGATTCATTCTAAACGTCAGAATAAAATTTTAAATTTAAATTTATGTAATTTTATATGTAATTTATTTACTCTTGTCTCAAAACAATAAGTCAGTCTTATTTAATTCGAGGGAGGAAAATAGAATTTATTATAACCGTAATACTGTTTTATTTTTATACTGCCTAAGTTTGCGATAAGATTAAGTGCTTTTCAAGAGAGAATAATTTTATTTCGTTATCAGAAATCCTTTTCTCGAAAGAGAACAATTAATACTTTGCGCACTTCCGTTATTTGAGAATTATGATATCCGACGATTCATGTTTCGTCATTTTCATATTCTCCACGTTTTCAATTAGGGTGTTAGTCAAATTACATTCGTATCGTCTCGAGTTTCGCTTCTAATGAATTAATCGGAGTATTCGCTTCACTGTGAGTGACCGTTGCCTCTATACATCTACGAGTCGTTAAGCGCGAAAGTTAGCACAATCACGCGATCCGATAATTGCTACGGTGCTCATAGGAAACGACTGCTATTTGTCGCGTTTACGTCTTGATAGGTAAAGACTTATGTAGATAAGTCGCACACGCAAAACGTATTCGTAACGCTATCATGACAGCCAATTAGAAGCATCAATGATATACTATTGATCGCTTTTGGCTGTCGCGATAAGTTACAAATGCGTTTTGCGTGTTGCAACTTATTTGTTTTCTGTGGCTAAATTAGCGTACGCTTTTGAAATAAAGTGAGATAGGTATGTTAATATTTGGCGAAAGCAGGAAAGAAAGTTCTAATACAGTCTAATACGGGAATAAAAGACAAACCTCTACACAGAAAGAACGATTTTGCTGAAGTATCTAAAAATTTAGCTAGATATATAAATCTGAAAATCAATTTATTGGACCCTCAAAATAATTACATAGGAATTTCAAATATTCAAATGATCAATGCTGTAAAAAGTTATAGCAAACAGTTTGAGCGTTCTACATTATTTTGATGATCCAACAAAATTATTTTTGGATATGTATAATCTAGATAACTCTAAATTTTTAGATATTTTAATAAAATTATCCTTTCTGTGTAGAATGCATTCTGTTTCACACATGCGCGTGGTGTATCATTTTATCCTTGTTATGTTCAGCCAATGTTGAAGAAGGATAAAATAATACATCACATGCACGAAACGGAACTATTAAACCAGATTGCATTTCTGGACGAGCCTCAATGCATCGTTACGTATTTCACACCGCTGCGTGTCTGACCGAATCTAACCCCCGCGCGGAGTAACGCGCGACCTTTCGTCAAATAAACAGCGCTGGCTGTACGATGTGCAAAAATAACCGATTCGTTGTTATAAAATATTTTACATTGCGTTATGAAATAAACAAAACAAACGCGTGCTGAATATTCTGCCTTTATCTCGGATGAATTTCGAACACCGAGCTAATAAAATGTAATATTTGTTTGAAGATTGGAATCTATTTTATTAAATTGAAAATATTTATATGTGAATTAACTTATTTTATTATGATTATTGTCAATGTTTTATTGAATGTACATATGAAGTAATGAATGTTATTAAATTAAATTGATCCTCCGGAGTTTAATAAACGGTAGATCTATATTGGATTTACTCAATTATAAATTTCTTCAGTAAAAATGTTGAAAAATTCAATATTTTTATGTTATATTTGCAAATTTGAATTATTCTTATTAAAATGTAGAGGAAGCAAATTGGACGCCCTGGGTAAAGCGAATACCTTTTATTTTCGCTTATCTATCTGAGATTGCGCTATGAGTCTTTAGCAGTTGAAAGAATGATCAGCGACGCTATGAAAATACGAAACGATATATGATTGCGTTTCGTTTGTGTTTAATAGAGATATACTATATAGAAAATTGACTGTTTTCTTGCGATTTTTCCTTAGATACATAGCTTAACCCTAGCTGTTTTACACCCTAGTTGTTTTTTACACCCTAGATATACACTGGGATCTCTGGGACCCCATTCATATTTGTTACCGTAACTTCTGTTAAAATGAATATATTTCAATTAATTTTTTTTTTCAATCGATGGAGAATTGATTAAGGAACAAGCCTATAATGTGTAAAAGTCGATAGAATTAAGGAACTTCGAGATATATAAGTTCAAAGAAAAAGAAAAATTTAGAAACGCGAAAAAATCTCGATTTAAAAAGTTGCGCTGGGGTCCCGGGGACCTCAATGTACAGCTAGGGTTAACTATTATCTGTAATTGTTCCTTAATCAGTGTGAATGATTTTTTATAAGAATTCTGTGTTTTTAAATGTGTAGGTAAAATTTTTCACTTGGTGCTTTAACTTATTCTAACCTTTCCAAATTCGCGCCAGGTAAGTCTTTTGGGCAAAGCGGGTGATCCATCCTCTTTACTCGATATATGATTACAATGAAAATACTGGATATACAGAGAGACAGACGATCTTTCGAATGTACAAAAGGCACGTGTTTGTTTACATCTCATTTTTGTTTATTTTTTGTCACAATGCAGTATAATATTGTAAAGTATTGTTTATGACTGATTTGCAGTCATTGCAGCAAATGGATCCATAAAGGCTGCACTACATATAGAGGATTTGGTAGCTACTTTTGTGATAATTGCCAAGACTGATTTTAATTTTTTTAATTTTATTTGTATCGCTCGACTGATTCATTCGCTTTGCTCAGGGCAAAGCGGATGGTTTCTCTTCTTTCATGTTTTAACTAAAACGACATATTAATGTTTAAGTTTTTTAATTTTTTTCAATTTTATTTCAAGCTCTTTAAGAGATTTATGAGAATAAAAATGGTTTTTGATCTCAATTTTAATTGTGACATTTTTTCTTTTTAACCTTAATATATCCGCGCTGCCCGGACTTCCCGTACAAAAGAGTACATACTGTACGAAAATAATAATTATTTATTTCAAATATTTCAAAAGTTCATATATCCGTAAATTTATCGTATTTATCACAAGCATTAAATTTATTCAAAATATATTCTAAATCTTCATAAGTTTTACACTTTAATTAAAACTATTAAATTAAAATAAATACTCGATTTGTTTATTATACAAAGCCACTTCTTTCATCAATTTTATAAAATATTCTTCAAAAGAAATCTGAATTCTTATTTTGAGTACATACTAACGGTTTTTTCTAAAATTTATAGTAAGTACAATATATTTTATGAAATTATCATTAAGAAAATATTTTTTGTATTTTAAAAGATAATTGTTACTTAAAAGAAAGAAAGTAAATTGAATAATCTTTTATTAACAATATAGAGAATTTTTCTGTGTTTACTTATAAGTAAAATGTATCCATTTTTTTGTACGAGTTATATCATTTTGGTTTCTAAACATTAATTAACATAAATTAAATATAGGTCTTACAGATTATAGAGAAAGTGTCAATAACTGTGTTACACATTTTGGCGTTAGCTCCGGAAGATTAAATCGCGTTGCTCAAAGAGCAACCAGCTCACTGGTTGGACTCATCTTTAGCAGAAACGTGACTATAAAGAAATAAAATGCGGTTCTTAGAAAACCCCGGACTTTCGAGAAATTCAGGAATCGAGAGAATTTTGGAATATAAAGCGCACAGAAATCAACGATCTAATAAAATTCTAGAACCGTATAGGATTCTCGAGGATTTGAATATTAGAGATTTCAGATTGCAACGACGTCGTTATTTAAATCGGTTTCGCATTCCGTTGAGCTTCGATTTTGTTCCATGCGACACGTTTATTTTCTCCTCCTATATTCGAACAAAATCGTAGCTTACCGTAACACACCGTCCGTCTTCGTAAAAGTTTCCGCTTTTCGGTCGCATATGCCGCGGCATTACCATGCGTCTTGCGCGTTCGGCGACATTATTAAATCGTGAATTCTTGTAGAGCTCGTGATATATATACATCTGCCACTTGGCTTGCCGTTACGTCACAACCTGACGACGAAAAACCAGAGAAATTTATGCTCGGCGTGAATTCGAGGCCGAAACTTTAGACTCGAGGATTGGGCTGCTTTACATATCGATTCTTTGTATTAATATGGATCCGCGTTTTCTCACCCTCGTTCGTTTGCTATTCTGTTACAGAACGAAGTCGGCAGAGTGCGAGGGAGTGCCGTGCTCGCAAGAAGCTGAGGTATCAGTACCTGGAGGAGCTTGTGGCCGATCGAGAAAAGGCGGTGCTTGCTCTGCGGAAAGAGCTCGAGATGGTGAGTCATATTCTTAACCCTTCTAATAAATGAACGAGCGAGAGTTTCTAGTAAAGAATCCAGGATTTTCTCCTTTAAAAATCAACGATCGTTTATTGCGACGAATAAGCTGCGTATTGCAATAATAAGTTAAATGATAAATGCTTGCGAATAAATTGCGGCTTATATTAATAAATTTTGTTAGACTTGAATATTCTACAATTGGCAGAAAATTTGAAAATATTACACTGTACTTTTTTTTTTAAACTTGAATGCAATTCTTCCTTAGCGGAAGTATTAAAAAAAATTAAGTATTGTTCACTTTTATATTTCAATATTTCAATTTTTATAACTAACTTTCTTTTTTAAATATAAATATCGATATTTTATCGAAGTAAAAACTTAAAGTTGAAAGATAGAGAACGTTTCGATATTTATTCTGACAGTAAGTTTGCGAAAAGTTTGAGTTTCAACAGTTATAGTTTGAAAATTATTATGGCATATAATGTAAAATGTAAAAGCAATTTTTACATTTTAAAAAGTACTGCAACACTTTCTGAAACATTTTGTATATTTATATAAATCACCGTTTATAATTATGAAAGAAATCAAATATATTCAAAGTTTTATTTATATCAATTTTTGATTGTACTACATCATTAATTGAATAAAATAGAAATAAAATTTATAATACATTCGAAAAACAATTCTTTTTTTATTGAGAAAAAAAATATACACTTCAAAGTTCTCTGAATTAGTTGTATCTTGAACATAAAGCAAAGCAAATTCTTCGGAAGCTGGAGAACCTCGAAACTTTTTCTTTTCCATCGCCTTTCTCATCGTCTTCCTTATCATCTTCCTTAAACCTTCCTTCGAAGTGCAAACTAAGTTACTCGCAAAAGTGTAAAGTTCTGGTGGAATACAAAGGTTCGCTCTTTAGCAATACTACTTTGTTTTGTCTTGTCGCAGAAAAGCATTCGTATTTGTTAGAATTATTTGAGTACTTCACGCGGGGTTGTTTGACAGTTTATTTATTTTTGTGGGCTTCTATAGGAGGAAATATTTCGCACAAATAATTTCTATCATTTATATAAAAATTAGCATTCTCTTTATTCAATTACGATTTATACGTGAAAAAATAATGTTATATTAATATCATTAGCCAAATCAATCAGATTGTTGTTAGATTAACAACAATCTAATTGAAAATAATCTTGTTAATTTAATCACAGTTAATAAATCAAATAATATTTTATTAAAACAAGAGCATAGTGTATTTATTTTATTAATACTATCAATGAATCTACAACATTATTTTCAATTAAACTGTTATCAGCTAATACATTATTTTTTCGTGTAGCAATAAATCTGAATGAAGTTCAACGATAGAATAATAGAGAACAAGAGTCTGCTTATAAAAAATTTTGAAATAAAGAATTATTTGTTTATTGATTATTGATTGGTCACATTCGTTGTCCTTATCTTCTTCGCCGTACGGAAATGCTCGTTAAAATTTTTTGTGTCGAAAAGATTATTTATCTATCGATTCTACTGCCGAGTACTGCGAGTATAAGGAGCATTTGAAAAATCCCGACAAGTCCAGCGTTTTTGCGTATCCATGAGGCCATTCCCAAATCCTTCTGATTCCGCCGAAGATCTCCAGCATGACGGTTTAGTATGAACAAGACCAGACCGGAGAGACGGAACTTACGTACTTTACACACCATCATTTGTTTTTCTGCAGTATCGTCAGTGGACTCAGGAATTGGACGCCGGACAAGTCCCCGAAGGACTTCAGGCGATGCTGGAGGAATTCGGCTTGCTAAAACAGGAACAGTCCAGCAGCAACTAAACGGCCAAGGAGACGAGGAATAAGGAAGTCACGTGGATTGAGCCGTTCCATTTATCTTGTTCCTTCGATCGAAACTCCCCTTCGTAGTCGAGCTTTCTTTCCGTCTTCTCTTATCTCCTTTCTTTTTTACTATTCTTCGAGGCAATAGGAAATAATTGGCTGGCGAATCTGAAATTTTCTCTTTTACTTTGAGTACTTCTATACCGTGATTGATCCATTGAATGAACCGCGAAAAGTGGATCTTCCGGCCTTTTTAAAAAATACGTTTTTTTATGCGAAATAGTGAAATTTCTCCCTCCTGTTTTTCCTCCTAATTTTTTCGCCGAACGGCGGAATTGTTAGCCCTGATTATCTCGTTACCTCATCGTGTTACCTTTTTTTATACGTACATTTGTTATCGCGACTCGTTACGTTGACACATATTTTTTATTCTCGTTGATTAAGGACATCGGTCGGTTGTCTACGGCCTCATGTTTAGAATGTACCTCCTTCGCAAGATCGTTGCGGTGTAAGAAAGTAATTATATACAATATATTACTGTTAACACCTCGAAGGAGAATAAACGCGGTCGTTGTATATCAAAGTATATCTATATATTCAGTATTGTCTGTTTGAAAAGGGCGTCGTTGCGAGATTTCTTCGTTGACCGTTTACCGATTTGTTTGAACTTTATCGACACGCAGTATTTCTTGTACTGCAGAGAATTCATCGTTTTGTACAAATTACGCCATTACAAAAGTTGATTCATATATGTGTACGGAAGAGTCTGATAGTCGAATAAACCAATATTTTTCGATGAAAAAAGAGCTTGCTTTACATTCACCGTTTCTTATTTCCTGACTTTCCTATATATATATATATGAGAATTATATATCATAATTCTCTCTGAATATTTTTAAATTACTTTAAAAAACATTTGCGTCCACATTAAAAGAACGATTTTACTGAAGTATCTAAAAATTTAGCTACCCACAGATTTGGAAATAATTTTATTTAGACTATCAAAATAATTATGTACACACAGAAAAATACTGTATGCAAGTAATAATTATTTATTTCAAATATTTTCAAAGAATTCATATATAATCTATCATAAGTTCATTACAAGTATCACATTTATTGAAAATATATTTTGAATCTCAATGAGTTTATTACTTCGATTATTAAATTGAAATTAAAACAAATTCGATTTGCTTTTTATATAAGTTGTTGCTTCGATCAATTTTAATAATATTTTTTAAATAATATTCTTTAAAAGAAAATAAATTCCTATAAGATTTAATATTGTTAGAAAATAAATTCTTGCTTTGAATACATAATGAGTTTTCCTAAAATTTGTAATGTAAGTATATTCTAAGATAATTTTTAAGAAAATATTTTTCTTATTAAAATGATCCGTTACTTAAAAGAAATAAATAAATTGAATTATCTTTTCTTAGCAATAGAATGATATTTTTCTGTAGGATACTCAAACAAGTTGCTAGAATCTTTTTTGCTCAAGCCTTTTTTGCAACATTGCTCATTATGTTTGAATTTCCTACATAATTATTTTAATGGTCAAAATTACATTTTCTGTATTTACCTAAATTTTTAGATAACATTCTGCAAAATTGTTCTTTTCGTGCAAGTCAACACACCTCCGCCGGCGTTATTTCGAAATCGCATTGTGGACACTGCGATGTCGCGGTTTTGCGTAACGGGAATTTGCATATTTTGACGTGGGTTATATCGGGCCATGAAATCTCTCCGCTCCCGTTTACGTAGATTGCGATACGTCCACGGACGATATCATCTCCCGTGTTCGTTCGACGGTACATTAAAAAGAAGGAAAAATTGATGAATCCAATATCGCCGTTATCACGATTACATTCGGAAATTTAAAACGAATTTTGTTACGTAATTTGGCTCGAAGCTTTTAATCAACTCGAGCAATAACGAGCGAACTTAATGTCGCCGTATAGTATGAAGTAATAATTGTAACGATAACGATGTTATAAACGTTGGTATCGATTAAACTGAACAAATAAGAATATTATCCTTATACAGAGTACATGGATTGATTTAATGATATTTTCTATTTTTTGATCCCTGGATGAATTACTACTTGCTTTTACTCACTTAGTAGCTTAATGGACGATAAGTGTGTCAGATCAGATTATTCAGATATTTAGCTTTGTGACATTTTATTATTATTGGAAATGTTCTTCAATGATTTTTGCACGAATACCGTTTTTTTTTATAAAGCTGCTATTGATACGAAGTGGCAGCTAACATGAAAATGCGAGGATTAAATTTATATACGCAGCTCGGATAAAATTTTTAGCCAAATATCACGTCGCCCATAAATCACCGTCTAGCCACAATGCACGCGAAATCAGACTTTACTTTCCTATTAAGAAAGAAATATCGATTTCCCTACGTTTCTCACGCGTGGAACGTAGGAAAATCTTGCCAGCATATAAAGCGGAAGTAGAAAAAATAGAAGAGGGAAATTCATCGTTTTTCTCGCTATGGTTGCAATAAATCAGCGTGTTAGGCGGAGTGTAAAGTTGAAATATTGCTGCGTAAATATCAAATTGTACTAAAGTATCGAGCAAAGAACCGAGTACTTCATATTATTATTAAGCTTGCTACATAGTACATAATGTACTTCTTGGCCATTCTACGATGGCCTTAGTTGTGACAGTGTCCGGAGATAATATATTTTACACGTTGTGTCTGAGTATAAAATAACTATCTTTTGGATAAAAGATTACATTATATGAATTTGATAAATTATATCTGCTAATGCTAATAGTACTTATTAAAATTTTAAAAGATATGACATTTACAGATTTTTTTAATCGTTCCTTGTGATTAAACTGTGACTATTACCTTTTCGTCGATCTTGTATACTTACGAAATCTTTAATGACTAGATTTTACTATCGTAGAAGTCAGACTGTATTTTACTTATTTTTTTATGGATTATTTATCTATCAGAAATTTAAAATAAGGAAAAATATCGATTGTGCTTTTAAGTCGAATTTGGCCGATAAAAGATTAAATAGACTTACTGAGAAAAATTTCTGATTGAAAATGAACGAATCAGAAAATTCGAGAATCAGTTAGAATTTTCATTATTTCATTTAAAATTATAATAGATTTAACCGAAAAATTCTGATTTGTTCGTTTAATTAGAATTCCATGTAATGCAACCACTCTTTTTCCAGTACGTATTTGTATATTTTCTCCATATCACTCCACGTTACTTTATAAAGAGTTAAAACGACATAAATAACTTTTCTGCGTCGGACACATAATTGCCTAGCATTTTCCGCGTTGTTCTCGACGAATCTTGTGCAAAGCACATTCCTAGATGTTTTGCGAGGAGTATTAGCGGCATAAATCGTAAAAAGTTAGCATCGTGCCCATGTATAATACATATATATGCCCATCTTTTGCACCGGCAGTTAACGATATACACAATTCCGTGCGTCATAAACCGTGCACATTCAATTTCACGTTACCACGGAAAACGCAATTCTTGCTGGATGGACGAACGAACGAACGTGTCGGGCGCAGAGTTCATAAAGTGTAACATTGCGGTGTGAAAAAATAGCGGCTACGTTTGGGACGCGGAAATAAGGAGAAAAAATATGGCTATCCGGCGGGGCGAGGAAATACTTGCGGCCTCCGCTCTTTCGACCCCGCGGGATTCTCTTGCTGTTTGCTGGAATTTATTCTGATAGCTCAAAAACGTTTTCGGTCGATACCTACTTCCCCTTGCAACGTAATAATGAGCCGCGAGATGGTTCTTGCACTTTGCGTTTTCAGAATATTCTAGACAATTCGCAACTTCAATCTTGATTCTCTGATTAATTTAGAGAATTAATTTAAAATTTTTACCAGTTGAAAATAATTATAAATATACCATGAACTAGCCTTCAAAAATTGGGAAAAGGGTTTACTACCTGGAAAAACTTAGAAAACCTGAAATTTTCAAGTTAGTTTTTTTTACTCTTGAAAATCAAAGATTTTTATGGAATTTTAACAAAATTTAGAGCAATTTTACTTTTAAATTTTTACGTTTCTGAAAACAGTGTTTCTTTGCTCGGTTTTTTGATAATACAAAATGTTGACAAACAATAATAAGTATATTCTTGCTGTGTGCGAATTTTTATAAAAAAACAGGATGACAGTAGAGGACAATACTCAACAGAATGGAGTAATTCACCGATATTATATGTATATTGCAACTTTCTTATATGATAGATACTTGCGGCAGTTGTAGAAAATGATAAATATAATCTCGTAGAATCCCTGTGTTCTATTAACCTTCAATATATAGTTTACGTGCGTTGCTTGTACTGTAATTTATTTCAAGTGAATTAAAAAATTGTTTAATCTTACCTGGAATTTTGAACAAAAGGAACCTGGGAAATCCAAAAAATTATCAGGGAATTTTTTTTTACAAGATTTCAGTAAATACCCTGTAGAATTTTTAGAGAATTAAGATAGATTTGTTAGATAGATTTGTTGTGTTTCTTAAAAAAAAAATCTGTTAATTTTCAGTTTTATATTTGAATAGAATTTTAATGTCTAGAGTTATAACAACATGTAACACTAAATCTTTATGATATGTAATAAATTCTTTCGATGTTTTCAAGAAAGGATTGATTCTAAATTCGTGATAAATTTTTAAATTTGATAAGTGATGATATTGTCAATTCATCAATCTATGGATTGGTTTGTCTTATTAAAGAGATTGCGATGGACGTATAGTCGATAAAGTGGAAAAGAGAAGAATAAGTAAACGGAAGCTATTTTCCGAGGTGAGCGACGCGCAAAGCCCGAGAACGTGAGCTGAGAAACGAGAAGAAACTCTATCTCCGTCTCTCTTATCCTCCCTTCTTTCCATTTTTTTCTTTATTTGCTCAACGAAATGTGCCTTCGAAGAGATGATACGCGCGGATATTATCGCGCCGCTGCGGTTATTTTAAACAGTATTACGCATAAGCAGATCACGACATCCAATCTATGCTCTCATAATGTTCTATTCTTTCACGAAGATATTGTAAACAGCGCAGTATTAGTGTCATTCGCATATACGAGACATTCAGTTTTTATATTGAAAAATAAAGACTACTCTCGTATTAACAGAAGTTATAATCCGTTTCTACGATATCTTATTTAAAAAATATTAAGACAATTGTTGCAACTTGCATTTGAATAATAGTATGTCTTCATACATGTATGTAATATAGAAAAAAAGAGAGAAGAGAAGAAAGACCGAGAGTGTCCGGTAAAGACTATCAACACTTCAAGGTAGAGAGATTCCTGTAAGATTATTTTAAAACAAAAATCCTAATACTAAATATCGAGGCTATAATAGTTCTTAAATTATAAGTATTTAAAGTTATCGAATCATACTGCCTAAAGTTTGCGCGTTCAGGTATGATGCAATGCAAAATGTCAACCACACCTGAACGTGCAAACTTATAGACGGTATGATTCGCTAACTTTAAATACTTATAATTCAAAAACTATTATAGCTTCAACATTTTAGTATAATGAACTTAGGAATATACCCTTGAGCGTTATTACAGTATACCG